CCCCTCCCCCTCCTACCACCCCTGTCCTTTTTGAACAGCCTGTAGCCATCGATAGCCACATTCCAGTCGTGGGATTCATCCCACCAGGTTTTGGTTATGGCAATCAGGTCGTAGCTGTCTAGCAGCACAGCAGCTTCCAGCTCCTCCTGTTTGTTCCCCATGCTGTGCGCGTTCGTGTAGAGGCATTTCATCTGGGCTGCTGGCCGTGTCACCCTCTTAGTGGAACATCCCTTGTTTCCCTTGGGGTGTTTCATGAGGCTTTCCTTGTGAGCTCTAATCATCTCAGAAGCCCCCGGCTCATCTCTGCCAGACTTCAACTGTGCTGCAGCGTCCCCATCATGCCTCTGGGCAACAGGTTGAGGGCTCACAGTAGCACCCTGTTGCGTACCATCCCACAGCTTGTCACAGGCAAGCCTGATGTGTTCCCCCTCCCCCTTCACATCTAATTTAAAGCCCTGTCAAGGAGCCCCGCAGGCTCCTGTGCAAAGACCCTCTTTCCCCTTTGAGAAAGGTGGCTCCCATTGTCGCCAGCAAGCCTGGTGCCATGTAGGCCGTCCGACTGTCGAAACACCCAAAGTTGTGATGGTGGCACCAGCCTTGGAGCCATGTGTTAAGAGATTGGATCTGCCTGTTCCTACCAATGTCACCTCCCACAACTGGAAGGAGGGAGGAAAAGATGACCTGTGCCCCCAATTCCCTCACTAAGCGTCCCAAGGCCCTGAAGTCTCTTTCTCCAGGTCTGTTTTTTTCCCTCCAATCCAAAAGCATCCTCCTCTAAAAAACTCTCTAGGAGGGCAAGTGTTTGCTTTCAGAAGGCAAGAAAACTGGGATGGGACAGGGAGGGGGAGGGAGATTCCCCTGCAGTGGCACAGTTAGGCATCTGCATGAATGTCAGGAAGTCAACGAAGCCCTGCAGGTGCCATTTCAAACAGCTTTCCTCTGCAAAATTGGGTCTTAAGAGAGGCACAGGAAGAAAAATCTCAAAACAGCACAGCGTATCACCAAAAACTGGTGCTGAGAGTCGAGTTGCATGCACAGTGAGGAAAGTGCATCCCTGCAATACATAGTCAAGACTGCAAAACTCAGTCAAATAAGGCCAGAATCTGGCTTCTACCTTCAACCAACCGATATACGAGGTCAGCAGAATCCACCTTAGCCTGGGAATAGGTAAATGGTGAGTGAGAGGCAGCTCTGAAGGAGAAGGAAGCTGAGGAAAGCTGGTGGGGCTTCCAGCCCCTCCAAGTATAAGAGTGGCCCATTCAGGAAGGCAAGTAGATAGTACCAGGAGACCAGCATGGCTACGCAGGGAACTTGTGACTCGGCTCCCATGTGCAAAGGTGTCATACAGGGAGCGGGAGCAATGGCAGGCCACAAAGGACTAATCAGAAATATCACCTGGGCATGTCGGGGTGGTGTCAGGAAAACAAGTTCACCTGCAGCTGAGGCTTGTGCAGGACATCAAGGGCACAAGGGCTTCTGCTGCTACACTGGTAGTAAAGGCAGGCCTTTTGCTCAGTGGGGTGGGTGAAAGCAAGGCTTTCAACGCCATCTCTCACAGTATTTTTGCGTGCAATTTAACATGTTACAGTCTGGATGGGTGCACAACCTTATGGGTAAAAAACTATTTGGTTGGTCAGGCTCAGAGGGTGGTGGTTATTAAGTCATATTCTGCCCAGAGACCGGTAACAAGTGGGGTACCACCTCTACTCCTGGACCAGTACTTTTAACATCTTTATCAACAACCTGAAGGAGGTGACAAAATGCTCTGGGGGTGGACAACAACCAGTTCACAAGCTCGAGGGCAGGGCTGCTATCCAGAGGGTCCCTGACAGGCTAGATGAACAGGAGCCTCGTGAAATTCAAAAAGGACAGATGCACAGTCCTGCACCTGGGAAAAAAGAGTCCCTGCAAGGACACAGGCTGGGAGCTGAATGGCCAGGGAGCATTCTCCCAAAAAGGCCTTGGGGCACTTGGCAGAGAGCAAGCTGAGCATAAGCCAGCAGTGTGCCTGGCAACAGAGGCAGCACCCTGGCCTACAAGAACACCATAACCAGAAGATCAAGGGAAGAGATTATGCCCCTCCAATTGGCACTCATAAAACCAGACTTACATCCTGTGACAAGTTTTGGGTCCCTCAATACAATGTATGTGTTGACAAATGGGAGCAAGTTCCACGAAGGGAGACAGAGATGGCTGGAGGCTCAGCACTTGTGTGAGAGGGCCATTTCAGCCTGGAGAACAGCTCTGGGGGGAACCTAGCAGCAGACCCCAATACCTATACAGTGACTGATGAGATGGAGCCAGGAGGATGAGACACAACAGGCCGTTTCAAGCTGAAAGAAGAAAGGTTCGAACTGGAGAGGTTCAGACTGTCCTCCCCATGATGACAGTCAGGCAACAGAGCAGGGGACTGAGCTGTTTCCAGCCTTGGAGGTTTTCAAGACCCAAATGGACAAAGCCCTGAGCAACCCTGTCTAATCTCCCAACTGACCTGGCTTTCAGCAAGAGGTTGGACTGAAGGCCTCTCAAGGTCCCTTCCGACCTAAATTATCCGACCTGGAAGAGTCCAGCCACAGCTTCAACTCCCTTCCTCAAATTTTCATTCTATTAAAAAATTTCAGGGAACATATTCTATTTATTCCAGTTACACTCTCTCTAGTTTTTGCCTCCAACCTTTCCCACACTGGCCATCACCCTCAAGTCTTCTACTTATCAGCACAATTGCATCTCCAGCCTACATAAACCTCCTTCTTCTCCCTAGGCTTACAATCACCACTGACTACATTCACCCTCTGGAGCTCCCTTCCTTCAATTCTAGCTCCACAATCTCCAATTCTGTCCCTACAGCCCACAGAAACAGTGTTCACGGAAATAAGCAAAGGCCTACCAACAGGAAAAATTCATTTTCACTCCATCCCCTCTGAAACATTGAGCTGACTTGATACCATCTCTCGCACTCCTTTTGTTTTTTTAAATATTCTTGCCTCTTCCTTAATTTTACTTCTAATCGTGTCTCACTCAATAAGTTTCATTTCACCTTTGCCAGCTGGCGTGACAGCATCCACAAAGCCAGATGCACTGACCTCTTAAAATATTTATTCAGTGTCCCCAAAAGAACTGCCCAGAATTTGGAGCATTTTACTCTCCTAGGCAAGCTGAAAAACTTGCAAGACTTAGGATTTATTTCTTAATTCACTTAGCAGTCCCATAGTTTACAAGTTTTTAAAGCATGTGCTTGTCTAAAATTGCTTATGACCTGGGTTGTGAAGGTTGAGTCTTTATTGCTTCCATCACAGTTGAATTCTGGTAATAAGATAGAAAACATCAAATCCACCTCTGTACCCTGCAGTTTCAGGGACCTTGAAAAAAATGATACAGGTTCCTTTCTCACCAGGTACAACTGCTAATACAAAAACCTGCAGCCCACATCAGGGACACTTTTTAAGCTTGCTTACACATACGTTAGGAATTTAATGAATAATCCTGTTTATAACATACAGGAACAATACCAACTTATCTTCCCAACTGTTAGCAGTGCTGGCTCTGAAGAACAGCAGAATGCTTCTACATTAAGATCCTATACTGGAAGAAAATCTGATTGCCAGGTAAGGAGGCCCTGTCTT